TTTTTTTTTTGGTTTGTTTGAGACAGGGTCTCACTATGTAGTTGAGACTGACCTGGAACTCACTATGTTGTCCAGGATGGTCTTGAACTCACAGAGATTCCCCTGGCTCAGCCTCCCAGGTGCTGGGATTACAGGAGTGCGGCACTGGGCAAGCCACTTTTAGCAGGGGGATTCCTGATAACATTTCTTTACTGATTTGTGTCTCTGGCATGTAGCACCCAAGCCTAAGATATATAAAACAAAACCTTTCCCAGCACACCTCCTCTTTTTTCTTTTTGCCCCCACACTTCTTGATTCCAGGAAAGCATTTTACATTCCAAAGCCTCCTTTTTATTTCCAAAAAGTATTAACAGTTTTAAATTAATGATGACCAGTTTTGGCTTTCTTTCTAAGTCAATTGGAAATGCTTCTTGTCACTTCAACTCCCCCAAAGAATGTATTTTAGGGGAGAGGAACTGTGTTTGTTGAGCATTTGTGCCTAAAAAGAGTCAGTCTTCATCCACACGACCATCCAGTATTCTCAAAGCTGAGGGGTAAACAAAGCCATTAACTAGATGAATTCGGTCTAAAATAGCTAATAGAAAAGAATGAAACGAACTAAAAGTGTTGTCACCGGTGATGAGGTCCTGGGACATATTCCAGGTTCTCATTGGTGACGAACGAAGAACAGGTCATGACTCGTGATGTTAAAGGAAAAGCAGCCTGGTTTTAATCAGGCAACAGTCTGCGCGGAGTGAATGGGCAGAGACTTGGTTATTAGGCTGGGCTTGGTTTAGGGGTGGAAAAGGGACTTCTATCAGCAGCAGAAGATAGAAGATTGACCCCCTTGTGTGAGTCAAGGAAGGAAATGGAGAGTTGTTACAGATCTTCCCTCTGAATACAAAGTTGAAACAACCAGGGGATCTCATTAGTAGAAGACAATATCCAATTTCTCTTGAAGGCAGAAAAGCACTGCAGCCAATGCTAGATGGACTAATTGAGGACAGATCATTTGAACCTTGCACGTTACCATACAACACTCCGATCCTCCCTGTCAGGAAGCCTGGCGGCTCATACAGGCTGGTAGAAGACCTGAGATTGTCCAGGCCCGACACCCGGTAGTACCCAATCCATAGACTCCCCCTTAGCAAAATCTCACATAAACACAGTGGTTTAGTGTGGTGGACCCAAAGGATGCCTTTTGGGTTTGTCCTTTAGATCCCAAAAGTACAGAGACCTCTTTGTCTTTGAATGGTAAAACCCCATCAGGTGAAGGAAAATAACAGTACTACTGGACAGTTCTGTCCCAGGGATTTTCAGGGGCCCCAGACTTATTGGGTCAGATTTTAGAAACAGTTTTGGAAGAGTTCCATCTCCTGCAGGAGCATGCTTACAGTAGGTCCCTGACTTATGAATGAGTTCTGTTCATAAGAGAAGGTTCGTAAGTTGGATTTGTTCATAAGTCCAACAAAGTGAGTCTTATACACTTTGGACACAAATATACAATGTATATTGCTTTGTGCTTCTTAGAAGCCCCCGCCATTGTGAGACCTGACTGAACTAGAGTGACTCCATGTTGACCAGCAAATGACCCAGAGACTGTAGCTTCCCCCCCTTATAGGATAAATAATGATTAATTGTGAATTACTAGGTAACTGCTTGGGAATTCTGGGAAACTAGAAACTGTGACAAGCATAGAGACCCAAAGTAAATCACTCCACTCCTTGTTTGCCCGTAACTGAATGTTCTGAACACCACAATCTATAAAACAATGGGTAATCAATCTGCTGACCATCAGTACGTAACTGTCGAGTGTATGATTGACAACCACCAGCTCAGATCAACTGACCACTTGCCTTTGTCCCCTTCCTGTAAGTTTCGAGTGTTAACTCCCCGTAGCCCTTTATAAAATAGCCTCCGACTCTGAGCTAGTTGCCTCT